ACTCAGCATGATTTTAAATACCTTGACGTGATTCTTTTTTAATTTAAATTTTTCCTGTTAGGTCTTTTATTTCCCAAACAATAGACCGCTTTGCTCTTAATGAGCTACTTTAGGCTAGAGAGAGCAACCAAGTTTCTTTTTTCTTTTTATAGTTTAAGCTTTTTCCTCTTTCGCCTTTCAGGTACCCAGTTAAGTAGAGCCCCTCATGCTCATTTGCATCCAGGATTCAAGTAAAATTCTTCCAGCTGAACTAGAGCCATCCAATTCTTATACCAGGTTCCAGATAAAAGTTGGCAGGGTAAATAGAAGTGACCAGTGGAAGAATGTGTTCATTTCAGTCTCAAGTTGTTGCTGGGCAGAGCGTCCTCCCTGTGGCTTAAGCAGGGATATTGGAAGGGGCACCGCCCACGGGAAGAGGCTAGGGGTGCTGGGGTTCATGAGCCCAGACTCCAGGTAGGCTGCCTGGGTTTAAATCTGCGCTTTCTTTTCTTTTCCAGTTTTATGAATCTCAATTTCACACCCTTTATTTGCTGCGTACCCATGGGCAAGTCACTTAAGCCTTTTAAACTTAAGGTTCAACTATAAAATGGGAATTAAGAATTAGTATCTGCTTTTTGGGGTTTTGAGGATGCAGTCAGGTACATGGAGCCCACAGCATAATGCCTGGCACACATGCTTGTCCAGTAAGGTGGCCAGTAACAATCTTTATTTTATTAGTGGTGTTGTCAATACTTATGTATGTATCGCTCATTCTGCTCTTTTAATATACATTTAATACTATTGGCATTAGGAGCTGTGTTAAAAATCTGTTACAATACATTTGGGTTCACAAAAATTTAAATTGACTTGGTAAAAACCACGGTAAGCAAAGTCAAATGACAAACGGGGCAGGGGCTATATTTGCAATTCATAACGTACACAAAGGGTTCATTTCCTAATATATAAAGAACTACTCAATAAAAAAATGGGCAGTCGTAAGGTTTTTTATGGTGATACTCTTCCATCATGTTGTGAATACATATACTCGGAGCAAAACAGGAAAACCCTAGGTTGGAGGGGGGCTTGGGACACATAGAGCCAAAGAAATGTCCATGAGTGTGTAAACAGACCTGAAACTTTTGTTTTTCCCCATAAAGTAGCTCCCTCTCGGAAATGTTCTGTTACTGTCAGCGGTACCCTCATATTTACCCTGTCACCCATGATTTTCTCATCTCCTTTTCCTGGTTCCCCCGCACCCAGAAAGTCACGGAGTCTTTTCTGGGTTTCATTCAGAGTAGTTCACATCTGCTCCAATCTTTCCAGGCCTGCAACTACTATTTTAGTCAAAAAGACACTCAGTATCTGACTGAACTGCTGCCCTGGTTTCCCTTACTTTCTCTCGTTCCCTCCTCTAGGCACCACGGTATACCACACCCAGATAAGTTTCCCCAAAACAGGGTTTTCATGTCGGGCCACCAACCTGCTCAGAAACCTTCAGTGGTTTCCTACAATCTAGAATGGAGTTTGCCTTCTGAACCCGACCCTCAGGGTCCCTTCATATGATTCACTGTCCTTATGTCTTCTAGCCTTACTTAGTCTTTCTCACTATGACTCTTTAGGGACCCTCTAAACACCTAACCTGATGGGCTTGGCCTGGCCCACTGTGCACATTTCTGCCTTCACGCTGCCCAGCTCTGCTTCCGTCTCCTCCATCCCAATGGCCGCCCATTGTTTTCTTACCTCGCTGCATGTATTGGTTGTCTGGACCTCCCCTCTCACGTTTAACCTTTGCCACCTATGTTGTTTTAGGTAAACTTTCTCATTGAAGTAGAACATAATCCAGAGGTGCACAGATCACAAAGTAAATCAGTAACTTTTCACAAGGTGAACACACCCATGTCACCGACATGGGTGCCTGTCTTCTGGTTCATACCCTATCTCCCTGACTAGCTGGTAAGCACTTGAGAGACAGAACCACATTGTATGCCTTCACGTGCAAGTGCATCACATCAGGTGCTCAGTGACATTCCAGATCAGGAATTTGAGCTAAGAAAGGGGTCTAGGCTTTGACAAATAAGAAACACAGAAATTTAAAGGAATGTGTGAAATTTCCATTACTAACTACAAATTCTTTCTTGACAACTGGTTACAGTTGAGATATGATTAGAGGTAGTATAATTTTGGTGAGTCCTATTCAAGGGTTTCTAGGTGGTGACCTGTAAGTAAGACCTTTAAATCCAGTCTGAACAAGGCCATATCATAGCTTTCTCTTTTTAGATAAGGCATGCAGACATGTACAACATTAGTTTTTGTTGTCATTCTCTCCAGCAAATATTTATTGATCATATACAGTCTACTAGGTACGGTTCCAGCATATGGTAGCATTCCGCTGTGAGTAACATAAAAGATCCTTCCTCTATAGAGCTTATATTTTATTTCATTTCATTTATTTATTTATTTATTTTTAAAGGTTTTATTTATTTATTTGACAGAGAGACACAGCGAAGAGAGGGAACCAAAGCAGGGGGAGTGGGAGAGGGAGAAGCAGGCTTCCCGCCGAGCAGGAGCCCAACGCGGGGCTCGATCCCAGGACTCTGGGATCATGATCTGAGCCGAAGGCAGACACTTAACAACTGAGCCACCCAGGCGCCCCTAGAGCTTGTATTTTAATGAGTCACTAGAAATAATTGATAGAACTGAAAGAAAGGCTTAAGAATAAAGATACACAACAAGGCCTACATAATACGAGAATGGTGAAAAATTGTTCCGAAATCCTCATCAACATACGGAGAGAATAAGAGCATGGAGATAAGGGCTAAAGGAAGATCAGCCCTGCACTAGGGACTTCTGGGTCAGAAATCCATTTGTGACATTATCAAAGGTACGAAAGAAGGCAGCAACTCAAAAGGGTAAAATAAGTCCAGGCTAAGGACAGCAGAGAGATGTCAAAAACATCATAGGAAACACTTAATTTTCAGCAGTGCCTTCCAGTTTACAAGGAAGGGACTTTGACTTGTTCATCCTCCTGGATCTTGGCCGCTCTGATCTTGCACGGACTATGCGTACAGGGCAGTATCACGTATGCATAGTCACGCAGCTCCCGTGTGCTTGGTGTGAGTGTAGACTGACTTCAGTACTCTTCCCCAGGCTGCCCTTATCGCCATATTTACTGTTTACTTTAAACCTGAACCATGAGGAGCTCCCTGGCAAATCGCGCTATCCAGAGGTTATCCACATAAGGCAAAGAGCAGTCAGGCAGATCACTTGCCAGCTCCTAGCTGTGGCTATATTGCTGGGAAGCGTAGGCACAGGGGATGGAAGGTGGAGGACCCCTAGGCTGCTAATCCTGAAAAAGTCACTTGTTGAAAGTATTATGAGTTCCCTTTCAGTTTTGTTTGGTCTTGTCTTTTATTGCCCCTTTGGTAATATCTTTTTTGTACCTACAAGGCTTTGGTTTGCAAAGCTATAAATCTGCCAGTCTTGTTGATGTGGCTTTCACTTTGAATTAAGGTTCAGCAAAGGGATTAGCGCATAACAGTTTCAGGCTGTATTTCTTTACACAAAAGGGTGGATATGGTTTGAACAGGCTGCCAAAGCCAGGAAGAGAAGTTAATTGTGTAAATCAATGCAGGCAAGAGCTGATCACCTTTCTGAAAGACAAGACAATGCAGCATACAACCTCTAAATAGATCTTTGGGGTCAAGTTGATGTCATGTGGAAGAATCAATATTTACGGGGCTTTATGAAGTTAGCCTTAATGAACCCCAGGCATTTTGCTAGGCCGCTAATTGCAGGAAGAGGAAAGGCGACAGTGGCTGAAGTCCATGGCTATGGAGGTTGTATAAAAATAAGTGAAGAGACAGTCACTTGCTTATGTGCAAGGGGCCCACCCTAGGTTCTACCCAAGCATTTGTTGGGTATGTGTTTGGAAAGGCTGGCTTTCTTGAGATTTTACTGACATTTTAAGAAAAGGCAACTTTTGCATCCTAACAGAAGAAGGTAAGCCCTTTACACTTTGACACCGTTATCTAAGCAGTTTTCTGAGATGAGGTGTTTTTTTTTTTTTTAAGATTTTATTTATGTATTTGATAGAAAGAGAGCACAAGCAGGGGGAGCGGCAGGCAGAGGGAGAGGGAGAAGCAGGCTCCCTGCTGAGCAGGGAGCCCGTGCAGGACTCCATCCCAGGACGCTGGGACCATGACCCAAGCCAAAGGCAGACGCCTAACCGACTGAGCCACCCAGGCGCCCATCTGAGATGAGTTCTGATGTCATTTTGGATTCTGCCTTATAAATGTGCTAATCACAAGGGCAGGTCCCTCTCAGAGTATAGCTCATCCCTCCCTCTGACACACTTGAGAGCTTTTATAGTAAAGAATTATAGTAAAGAGCGTTTACTTTAGGATGCTGGCTTCAATCCAAGTTGAATAAAAGGTTTTTGATAAATATCATTTGCACATGTGATATCATCCAGTAGAAGGCTGTTTGGTATGCCTAAGTGTTCTGTATTCCTCACGGGGTTGGCAGAATCACTGGTGGGTTAGGAGCCTTATCTTCTATTTATTTTAGTGGGTGCTTCTACTAAATGTTGTTGACTAGGTAGAGGAAGGCAGGGTCTCATATTTTATCCTGGCTGTAACAAAATGACAATCCTATAGAGTCAGGAACTGAAAGTTATCAAGCAGCTTTGTTAGGTGCTGTGAGTCAGAGTGTGGCCTCAGATGTTTGTTACAAGTTCTAGGTCATGTGTGCTTAGTAGATAAATTTTGGAACTGAATTTTCAGCCCTCTTTCCTTAGTGTCTTTTATCAGAGGAGGCTTTAAAAGTCACAGAGAGAAGAGCTTCTGTTCTCTTCTCACTCCCACTCCCGTTCCTTCTCTCTGGGATCGTTTTTCAGAATAAATACTGAAAAGGAAAAGCATGAGAGGTTTGTTGGGATTGTTGTAGTGTTTTTACAAGAGAATCTGACGTTTGCTATTTTCATCTTTGGATATTCATTCTGGGTTTGTATTCTTTCTTTTCAGCTGTTTGAGAACTTCTGCTTTGGTACCCTGAAGCTTAATTCAATTCACATCTCTCAGAGGTTCACAGTAGACAGCTTTGGAAACTACGCCTCCTGTGGGCAAGTTGACTTCTCCTGAGGTGGATCTTGGGAAGTGCTAGAAGTTGAACATCCTCACAAGGTGCAGAGGGAAAGTATCCTCGTTTGAATTACTGAAGAGGGATGTAGAAATGTGAATGGTGACTTTCCTGGGAGGTTCCCCACACAAACCATGGTCTCTAATGGTTGTTCACAGTCCTCAAACTGTCTGTCGTCCAAGGGGGTTGTGGGCACGGGGTGGTTTTGTAACCCTTGGCTTGTTCATCTTTCACAGGGTCTACCTTTCTTGCTGAAGTTCTTCTCTGGAAATGTACGTCTCAAGCCCATTGGAGCTGAGATTCACATTATTTCTTATACACCTACTGATTTTGCTCCAGCCATTAAAGTTTCATATTAATACTTTAAAAGAGAATTAAAGATGTGGTTTTGTTACTCTCTCCACCTAAATCAAATGTCTACAGTTTTTAGAAGGTTTGATTTTTACTTCGCTTTATACCTTAACCTTTTTTTTTGAAGATTTATTTATTTTAAAGAGAGAAAGAGCAGGGAGAGGGCAGAGGGAGAGGGAGAGAGAGAAGCTCAAGCAGGCTGTGCGCTGAGCATGGAGCCCAGTCTCACGACCCTGAGATCATGACCTGAGCCGAAATCAGAAGTCGGATGCTTAACCCACTGAGCCACCCCAGGTGCCCCTGTACTTTAACTTTTTTTTTTTTTTTTTAAGATTTTATTTATTTGAGAGTGAGAGAGAGCTAGAGCACACGGGCAAGAAAGCACATGAGCTGAGGGGAAGGGCAGAGGGAGAGGGAGAGGGAGAAGCAGACTCCCCGCTGAGCAAGGAGCTGGATGCAGGGCTCCATCCCGGGACTCTGGGATCACGACTGAGCCGAAGGCAGACGCTCAACCAGTTGGGCCACCCAGGTGCCCCTGTACCTTAACTTTTAATCACTACCCAGAAGGTTTAACCATTTGGTATTGTACGGTTCAGCATTGTTAAGTGTACTCACATTGTTCTGAAACATCTCCAGAACCTCTTGCAAATCTGAAACTATACCTGTAAACAACTCTCCATTTCCCTCTCCCCCAGGTCCCTGGCAACCACCCTTCTACTTTCTTTCTGTGAATTTGTCTACTTTAGATTCCTCATATAAGTGGGATCATACAGTATTTGTCTTTTTGTGACTGGCCTATCGCACTTAGCAAAACATCCTCAAGGTTCATCCATGTTGTAGTATTGGTCAAAATTACCTTCCTTTAAAAAAGGCTGAATAATATTCCCTTGTACGTGTACACCACGTTTTGTTTATCCATTCAGCCACCACTGGACACTTGGGTTCCTTGACCTCTTGGTTGTTGTGAATATAGTGGTCTACGAACATGGGTGTATAGGGATTTCTTCGCGATCCTGCTTTCAGTTCCTTCACTACTCAGAATTTTATCTTTAGCAAAATAACTTAAAGTTTTTATCTTTTACTTTGGTCTGTCTTCTTTCTTCTGAAGCTGGAACTCTTTTGTATTTGTTAGGTTACCGTTCCTTACCTTACCCTCCCTCCAGCCTTCCCAAGCCACTGATGGAGTTATGGCATCATAACTCTTTTATATTTACTCCTCAGGGTGGCAGCAGTGGAAACAGTGACAATATTGTCAGGAGGATGCAGAGTTCCCTGGGGCAGGGGCAGCTGCGGAAGCTCCTTCCTTGCCACAGACCAGTGGACGGAGGGGGCTCCCGGCGTGGCTTCCCCGACCCATCAGCCCCGCCACGTGCTCTGCTGGGGAGCTCCAGCCTCACCCTCACCTCCCCTGTTCACAGCCCTCTCCCTCCATATCACCTCTTTCTCTTCCCTTCATTCCTTACTCTTATTTGATTCTTTCTGTTTGAAAAGTCTCATTCTGAACCCTGTGCGTTAATGCTGCTACACAGTAAGGGCCGTGTGTACCACTCAGATTGGTTCATCAGTGTGACTGCACAGATCATCTGTGAATAAATGAATTTCCAAAGTCACTGTGTTTTTCTCTAGAGTTATCGTACAGTTTTAGCTTGACCCCCTTCATCGGGGTGTGTTGGGATATGGTGTTGCCCTCACTGACTCCCTAGCATAGCTGTATCATTCATCCAGAACTTACACATGAGTGCCTGCAGGTGCCTTTTTCTCCAGATGCTTTCTACTAGGAACATTCAATTTTTTTTTTTTTAATTTATTTAAGTTGAGGTTTTACCTCGTTTACCATCAGTGGTTAGATGGCACGTGGGAAGGAGTGCTCCAAGGGATCATACTGAATAGCGGAGCTGACAGCGGAGGTCAGTGTCCTCATCTCATCCCAGCGCTTCTCTCTTACTGGTTTTTTTCCGACACCTGCCGCCCGGCGGCCTTGGCCAGGAAGTAAAGATGTCTTGTTTTCAATGTCAGAGATTTATGACCTGTGTTTCCAGTAAATCTTTTTTTTTTTTTTTTAAGTTTTATCTTTGGAAAGTGTAACTTTATCAAATCCTAAATTCTTTTTTTTTTTGAAGATTTTTATTTATTTGACAGACAGACAGCAAGAGAGGGAACACAAGCAGGGGGAGTGGGAGAGGGAGAAGCAGGCTTCCCGCGGAGCAGGGAGCCCGAAGCGGGGCTGGATCCCAGGACCCTGGGATCATGACCTGAGCTGAAGGCAGGCGCTTAACGACTGAGCCACCCAGGCGCCCCTCTTTTTTTTTTGAACATAAAGATTTTTTTTTTTAAGTATCTCTACACCCAACGTGGGACTTGAACTCACAACTCTGAGATCAAGAGCTGTGTGCTCGGGGCACCTGGGTGGCTCAGTCGGTTGAGCGGCTGCCTTCGGCTCGGGTCATGATCCCAGGGTCCTGGGATCGAGCCCTTCATCGGGCTCCCTGCTCAGCGGAGATCCTGCTTCTCCCTCTCCTCCCTGCTCAGTATTCTCACTCGCTATCTCTGTCTCTTGCTCTCAAATAAATAAATAAAATCTTAAAAAAAAAAAAAGAGCTGCGTGCTCTACCAACTGAACCAGCCAGGCGCCCCCAAGTCCTAAATTCTTAATAGAATTGGAGATGCTGTTATTTAAAATTTAGAGGTAACTGTGCATTTAAGGACCTATTGTATTATTAAGTAATTTTTCACAAGTAATTTACCTTTCTCACTCTCCTTTTCATGATTCTACAGTGGATTTTTCCAGAGGCTACATGACATAGTGACAACTTCACTCCGTTGGTTAATGGAGCATGTACTTGTGTATTTTTGTGTTTCCTAGAACCTTGTCAGTTGTAGAAATTTGTAAGAATTTTCCAAGATTCGGGATCCCCTCCCACCTAATTGTAATGGGGTACATGTTGGAAGATTTGCTACTTGTGTTTATAATCAAATCTCCTTTAATATTATCACTTAGTAATTCATTCTGCCCTGAAATAGAGTTAAATTGCAGCTCCCATCCCTCCAGCCGGTTTTTGAGACACTGACTTCACCATCAGCTCCTCGCAGAGGAAGAGGAAAAACGGTCTCTCACTGCAATTATCACACAAGATCTGTGTTGTTATATAAGAAACTTCGTCATGGGAGAATCATCTTGATTTTTTGGGAGGGGACACAAGGAGTTAGTCCCAGACAAACTCCGTACCCATGGTAGAAACATAATAAAAGTCACTTCTTGTCGTGGTTATGTTTAAGTGAGCTTCAGAATTTACTACAGTGGACACTGTTGAGAATCCAGCTTCGTAAAGACCCAAAGCTCGTTCGGGTTCACTCCTGCGCCGCGCTCTCTCCCTGGAGCTGAAGGGAACCCCATGGCACCAGGGGTGTGTACTGAGTGAGGAAGACCTCTCAGATTCTCCCTTGATGCCTCCAGGGAACATGGATTTGCCAAGACACTACAGGCGAGAGAAAGGGCTGCCATTGGGACTGTTTTTATTAATAGCTTTCTTGTTGTTGTTAATAAAATGCTCTTTTATTTTTTTATTTTTTTAAGATTATTTATTTATTTGACACAGAGAGAGAGCGAGAGAGCACAAGAACGGGGAGACTGGGAACCTTTTAGGGCTATGTGTGAGGTCCACACTATTTTCTTAAAAATATTACTTGTTTTTTTACTCTCATTCTCTCATGAGTGTACCGTGGAGTTTTCCAGAGGCTGTGTGACATGGTGACATTATCACTCTGATGGTTAATGGAATATGTGCTCATATGTTTTTGTGTTTTCTAGAATTTTGTAAGTTGGCAGGTTTACATATAATGTAATATGTTTTTATTTATTTTTTTAAAATATTTTGTTTATTTGACAGAGACACAGCGAGAGAGGGAACACAGGCGCAGGGGGAGTGGGAGAGGGAGGAGCCGGCTTCCTGCTGAGCAGGGAGCCCGATGCGGGGCTCAATCCCAGGACCCTGGGATCATGACCTGAGCCGAAGGCAGACCCTCAACGACTGAGCCACCCAGGTGCCCCGATGTAATATGTTTTTAGACATTAACTCAGTTCGCTCTCAGTATTTCTACTGTACTCTTACCAGCTATTTTGTTTTATCTGCTGTTACAGGCTGAATTATATCCCTAGGAATTCATATGTTGAAGCCCTAACCCCCCAGCAGCTCAGAATGTAACTGTATTTGGAGACAGGGCCTTTAAAGGGGTGATCAAGTAAAAATGAGGCTGAGGCCGTTAGGGTAGGCCCTAATCCATTCTGACTGATGTCTTTATAAGAAGAGGAAATATAGGTACATCAGACCCCTGGCCTCCGAGATCAGCCCCCCTGGGTCTTTCTTCAAAAAAGGTTGGTGATGACATCACCAAGCCAACTGGTGATTGGAAGGGTCTGAGGATTATGGTGAAACTGACCATCCAGGACAGACAAGCCCAGATTTAGATAGTTCCTTCTGCCTCTGCCCTGATCCGTGGGCTGCAGTGTGGATGGCTGCTACCTTCATGACATCAACAGTGGTGTGGTGAAATGTCCAGTTAAGGACTAGAAAGGAAAATACTTCAATAAAGGGTTGTTATGATAACCAAAGGAAAAAAAACCTTCAGACATGTGCGTGCATAGAGGAATGACCATGTGCGACCCAGCAAGAAGGTAGCCATCTGCAAGCCAGGGAGAAAGGCCTCAGGAGAAACTAAACCTAGCAACACTTTAATCTTGGACTTCTAGTCTCCAGGACTTGGAGAAAATAAATTTCTGTTGTTGAAGCCACCCCCAGTTTGTGGTATTTTGTTATGACGGTCCTAACAAACTAATATACTTGTTATAATGCAGAAGCTAATCTACCAGTCTTCTTTTGAACCAGACATTAAATGTAAATCAATGCCCCCTTCTTGCTAATTTTTGGGGGGGGGGCGGAATATAGTTGTGTTTCATAAAATACATGATTTTGTTAATATGTAATGGGTTCCTTATTATTATTTTTAAATAAACATTTTTTCACTTAGGAGTTTCTTTAAAGATTTAAGAGCAGTTTCAGGTTCACAGCAAAATTTAGAGGCAGGCTTAGTTTTATTTTCAAGTACAATAGATAATATCTATGTCTATATATCTCATATAAACAAACTTTTGTAGGAGTCCTCAAGAATTTTTTAGCATAAAGGACCCCCGAAACCAGAAAGTTTGACAACTGCTATACCATACTATACTTCTTCCAAATGGGATCATATTACACATGATCTTCTATAACAAGCTTTTCTCATCCAGCAATATGTAGTGGGTCACCTTAGTTGTCAACAGATACAGATCTACAGGATTTTTAATGTCTTTGCAATAGTTCATTGTATGTTTTATACTTTAGCTAGTTGGTCCCTGACTAATGGACAATGAGCTGGTTTCCAGGTTTGGCTATTATACCCAATTCTGGATTGAATATCTTTGTGCATTTTTTTAATGCTTGTGAGGTCATCCAGAAATGAGATTACATGGTTTTAAAGATATGGTTAAATGTAGGTTTCTTATTTAGAAACTAAAGTTCCTCCATTTTGTATTGCTAGGTACTAAATACAAACAGAAAAATGCATAAAACATATGTACCATTTAACAAATACACCCAGCAGCTTTTGGGCCCATTCGTTTGAAAAGGCCAATCTAGTAATTCTCTCAAAGGTTAGGAAAACCTTTTCTTCTTTATAAATTATAATTGTCCATTTTCTACAATTCTTTTACCTGTCATCTGGAAAATTGGATTCTCTCCCCTAAATTAGCTCTGCTGTTGGCTTAATGACAGTCCTGGACTCCTATTGATTTGCCTTCAGCGCCAATCAGCTGACCCAGCTTGAAGGTGTTGCAGAAGACCAGTCCCACTGAAGGGGCTGCCCAGGAGTGTGGGAAACATTTTGACCTTCAAAAGTCTAGAAACATCTATTGTCTTATTGATGGGCATCTTGTCAGTGCCTGTCCAAACGATTGGGCATATTGGGCAACTTCGGTAATTTTAGAAGATCAGGGACTTCATAAGATAGGACTGGAACCGGAGGACTATGTCTAGAATCTTCCTCAATGCCTTGGAGATAACACAATGAGCTTTGCTAAGACTAGGATTGAGATGGTGGAAAAAAATGGCAAATTTTAGGACATCTTCAGAACTATGGGGCCTCAGAGCCTTCTCTTCTCCACCTGAGAAAAGAAGTAACATTTTTTAAATGTCTGCTGTCCTACTTAGTATGTAGTTTTGCACGAGTTTCCCAGAATTCTTCTGAGATAGATGGTATTATCATTACAGATAGAAAATAGATTAGGGAACCTGCCCACTAACACAGCTAGTAAGTGGGTTTCCACCCCCAGTCTGACAAACTGTTCTCCCACTATACAGTCTTGTTTTACAGCCCGGCAAGGCTGCTGTATTTACTGGGAGACATTAACAGCCAGAGCCGCCCTGTAGCACCACCTCTAAATCCAACCGCAAAGGAAAAAGAAAACACGGAAAAGGAGCTATTGTTTTCTGTTTTCCCAAGGGTACCCCAGCCCAAGCCATTGATGCAGTCAGAATTCTCAGGCAGGCCAGATTCAGGGTAACCTGTGTTATTTCCTACCGATTAAGATCATATTTCTCATTGCCTTTGATTTGATTTTTTTAAGACCACAGCAGCCAAGTCTTTTTATTAAAACACAATCTAAGGCTTGGGTCCCAAAAGTTCATTATGTTTGTCCTGTCAGATTCTCCATGTTTCCTCTTCCATTTATTAGTAATGTAAACCTCACCCCATTCCTCTCTGATCCTGGGACTGCCGAGCCTCCAGCCTTCCCAGCTGGGATGGCAACACATTTTTACAGGCACCGATAAGGGTCACAGTTTTAACAAAAACCTAAACACCTCAGACAAAACCAGCCTCCCCTCCAACCCCCTTCCCCAGTGGCTTATTAGAAACAAGTTGAAGTCAAACGCACGAACAAACGCGCCTTTTTCAAATGTGCAGCTTCAAGGCAGATGAAATGGTCAGACGTTTGCCTTTTCGGGTTGCCCTAGAAAGGGTTAACAAATGGGGTGAAGCCCTGAAACAGCTGCTTGGGAAGGAGGACATCTGCCCCTCTGCCATTCAGTGCTGTGGCCTTGCCTGGAAAAAAGCATGTGGGGCTGGGAAGCGATAGTTCTCGGAGGCAGCCAGTTGTTCTATGGCTTTTGTCTTAACGAAGCTGCCGGTGACTGTCAGAGCCATAACCCGCAGCAAGCCAGCTGTCAGGGCTGTGGCACAGGCCCCTCTGGGTGGCCGGCAAGGGGAGACAGAAAGAGTATCTGTGGCCAAATTCCCTTTTAGACACCTGAGCCTACTGGCTTTGTAACTGGAGAGATTTGTGTCCGCCCCACTCCCATCTTCCCTGGGGAGACACCCCTGGCCCTTTCTCTGGCCCTCCACCCTTGTAGAGACAGCAGGGACATCTCAGGATTTGGATTCCTTGGTTTGCAACTCCCTAAGTGCGAGGCTGGGTTGGGTTCTGCTGCGGTTGGCTGGCGTTTGGCGCTCTCATCTAGCGCTTCCCTTTGAAATCTGCCTCCTCCTTCCCCCCTCCCCGTTTTCTTTCTTTCTTTTTTTTTTTTTTAAACCAGGTATGATGATGTCAAACGTGATGCTGATGCTACAGTTACAGACACGGCCCCTGCTGGCGCAGCCTCTCTGATTCTCTCTCCCTCTCCGCGTCCAGCGCTGGGCTTTTTCAGACAAGTGCATCTCCTAACCAGGTCACATTTCAGCCGCGACCCACTATCCGTCTGTCACCGGAGTCAGACCGCAGGAGGAGGGCGGAGGAAGACGACGGCATTTGCTTCGCCAACCGCGGGGTGGGAAGAAGGACATTAAAATCCTGCAGAAGTCAAGACCACCCCCCACCCACCTCCAGGTCGGACCCTGACCACGATGCACGCCCCGGGCTGCGGGCGGCTGGTGCTGCCCCTGCTGCTCTTCGCCGCGGCCGCCCTGGCCGAAGGCGACGCCAAAGGGCTCAAGGAGGGCGAGACCCCCGGCAATTTCATGGAGGACGAGCAATGGCTGTCGTCCATCTCGCAGTACAGCGGCAAGATCAAGCACTGGAACCGCTTTCGAGACGTGAGTCTGCAGGGCCGCGAGGGCCAGGGGAGCGGGTTTGGGGAGGAAGGCTCGGAGCGGAGCCCCGGGCGCCGGGAGCGGTGGCGGCACGTCGCAGCCACCAGCCCCGCAGCCCAGCCGGCTGACCGCACCGAGAGTAAACAACGCGCACCCACCCGCTCCCGCCTGCCGTCGCCGGCCCAGCTCGGCGCCCCCTCCTCGAGACCACCGCCCCCCCCGCCAGGCCCGGGACCCCAAGCCCTACAGCCGCCCCGGGCGAGTCCCGGGCAAGGAGTTGCTCGGGGGGCGCGCGCTCCAGACGCGGTCTCCACTGCAGGTCGGGCGCGGAGAGGGGCGCGGGATGCAAGTGGGGGTGCAGGGCGGGAGGGGTGGGGGCCCTGGCTGCGGCTGAACCCCCGACCGGCTCCCCTCCTTTTTTGGTGGAAAAAAAAAAGAGGCCCCAGGCCTGCCCCCAGCCGGGTGGATGCTGCAGGCTCCACATACGGGGCACTGCAGAAGGAGCAGGTCTGGGTGCGGCCGGCGGGTAGGTATCATCGTCTTGAGCGAGTGCCCTGTATTCCCACCTTGGGCTTTGGGGGAGGGAGGACAGAAGGGGACAGAGCCCTTGGCTGGGGCTTTGAGTTGGGGATGGGGGGAGGTGTCCTAGCAGTCCTCATTAGGCGACATGGTGAAAGGCGTGTCCATGATTGGGGGCAGGCAACGGCAGTGAAAATAGCCGAGGCCACCTCCGGGTAGCCACTAGAGCCAGATCTGGGGTCCCCGTGCAGAGTGGCGCGAGCTCATGCAGGTTGGTTTTCCAAGAGCAACCTTTCGTGGGGGAGCCGGGCCCAGAGAAGGCAGAAGCTCCGATCCAGAGGAAAGACTCCGCAGCCCGGTGGGCTTGAAAAGCAGAAGGGAAAGCCCAGGAGCTGGGTCTGGGGTCCCTTTGGGGACAGGGACGCCTGCCCGAACCCTGGCGTAACCTTGGGCCGAACCTAGCCTAGTGGGGGTTGGGGAGGCGGCTGCGGACTAGCCGGGCTTGCTGCAGCACTTTGTTTACGAGCACCTGTAGATCAGAGGGGAAACCGGAGGCTGAGTTCCCAGAAGGGGGAAGTAGGAGCTGGGGGCGGGGGGTGGGGGCGGGGGGGCGGGTAGCAGAGGGCGTGGCTGGAACCCAGAGAAGGAGGCCGGGTGTGAGGTGGAGGATGGGCCCGGATGCGGATGCACTGGAGGAGAAGAATGCTGGTCCTGGCCCCCTAGTGCTTTCAGATGCCTGCCAGTTCCCAGAAAGCCTCTAATAGGACCCCAGTTCTCACTTTTCATTTGCCAAGTTCCCTCATCAGGCCCACCTGGTACAACACTGGCCACACCGTGACCTTTCTCATCTTCTCTTAAATTGTGTGCATCCAGAAGTTCCTTAGAAATGTGTTTAAAACACACATACTTCATATGCTCTCCAGCCAAATGATGGGAAAAGGCAGAGATATGGATCTTTTTGTTATTGTGAGACAAGTGACAGTTTCTCTTCAAAGTCTAACCGGTAGGTTGTAATTCATCAGAAAGGATCCCATGCAGCCAAGTCATCTGGGGCAGAGGGGCCTGGGCCCCAGAGTAGGCAGTTTGCCCCACCCACGGCTGGTCCACCGAGGGAGGCAGGAGTCCCTGCAAGGCCTTTTCCGAGGCCCCTGCAGGCCCAGCACAGATTAGCTGCAGTCTCCTGCCGCTGCCTGGGAAGCAGCCCGACCACAGCAGCGAGGGGGCGGCAGCAGGCTGGTCCATCCCAAATCCATGTGTCACCGGTCCAGGCCTCCCTCTGACTAACTGGCTGTTTGATCTTCCAAAGTGAGACTGGTGAAGGTCAGAGGGAAAAGAAATGCTTATCAGAACGGTAAAGGTTTAAAAATAAAGATGCCTCCCCATCTCCCTTTCTCCACCTGCTTCCAATAGCCAACCCTGTAGGTGAGGATAAATAACTGACTGCTTGACCCCCTGGCACAAGGCTGCCCACCTGTCTCCCTGCATTGGTGCCAATCATTTCCTCCTTCCTCCCATGCTTATCAGAAGAAAGGCACCAGATTATAAATTCTGCAGGGCCTGACCCCATAGGATTCATGGAAAGCTTTAGGGCATGTATTAATTTGGGTGGCCTCAGGCTTTTATAGGGCAGATGTCCTCTAAAACCCCATTTAAGGTAGCCTTGGCTGCAGGAAGACAGGGTCAGGGAGAGAGGAGGCCAGGGAGGGCTGGGCAGGAGGGTCTGGCTCTGGGGATCCATTGGCAGCTTTGGCAGAAGGGCAGGAGGCTGCTAGCTCAGAGCCACTGCATTGTACAACTCTAGAGGTGCCACAATGTGATGGTGCCCCCTGGAGTTGTGCGGTGCTCACACTGTCTACAGGGACTCTGCCAATACTACAGACGCTTCTCATCCCTCCTCTGTTAGTAGACGCCCCACTTACTACTCTAAAGCCCGAAGGCCCTCTAGTTGGGCACAGTAGTATAGGGCTTTATATACATTTCATCAGGCTAGCTTTCTTGAAAATATGTTCCTTGGATCCTCAAAGGGGAGATGGACGTTCATTTGAACCTCTAAGGTGTTGCCAGGTTGCACCAGAACCTTGTTCATAACCACAAAATGGCGCAGGCCCCCAGTTTGCCTGAGTAGAAGGGAGGCAAGAGGAGTGGAATGTTCTTGGGGCATAGGATGGAGGAGTCAGTACTGTAGGTTAGGGGCATGTCTCATTAAATGGTGCAGACTGAATTGAGGGGGGGAGATTGAGGGCATCATGTGGAAGAGGTCAGGAGGACGAAGAAGAGGAAGAAAGCGTGGGCAGGTGCTCCAACCTGGAATTGATCTGAGCTGGTTAGGGGGTGTTGAGTTTAGCATTCTTTCTCTGAGCGCTAGGATTATAGGGAGGCAGGATTTACCAGCAGAGTAATCCTCCCCTCCAGTGGGTGCAGGGTTGCGCATCTTGTGCTGGGGTAGATTTCCTCTAATGCCCAGTGCCTCATGCCAGGGAGGAGAGAATTTCATGCCAGAGGAGAGGGGGAGGTTGTGATCTAGCTGTGCCCTCCCGTGGGCAGGCCTGGGCCTTTCAGAGGCCTGCTCCCCGGCGCTATTATCTCCGGCTTCACTCCCTGCAGAACCGGGTGGGACTTGACTGCAGGTCTTCAGAACAGAGTATCCAGGGCCTCGTAGATAAAGACGGGCATGTGAGAGGAGCCAGGCCCATTACACAGCATTCTTCCGGGCAGGCTCCAAGAGCCGGGCAAGGCAGCACTGAATGTTCTTTTTCTTCTTGGCTCTTCTTCCCACTCCACTTCCATTAAACTTTCATGAGATTGACGGGCCTCTCGCACGGTGCCTGGCCCCCAGGAGGCACGCAGTTAATGTACCTTGAATCACTGATTGCAGTGAGCGCTGGCTTACCGCTGCTGGTCCCTGCAGTAAACACGTGACATGCATCGTCTCTCGTGCCCCTCAACCACCCTATTTATCATTTTGTCATGATCCATGCATTCTGCAGTTGAAGAAACGAAGGCACAAGGAAGTTAAGTAACATACTGCAGGGCCGAATAGCTAGAAAGTGGCCGAACTGGGGTTTGAATCCAGGTCATCTGGTTCAACTCTGCTTTTCAGGGCACTTGAGGCCTAACCCTTAGGGACAAATGGGAAGGAAGAGTCTACCTTGAAGAACAAAGTCTACCCCAGCTTGTGCCCTTGGAGCCTCCAGGTTGCCCTGGGCTGGAGCAGTAAGTACCTCTTAGGAAGGTGGGCCAAAGCCCTCAGTGTCTTCAGCAGCCCGCCACCAGCCTGCTCCCCATCCCTTGCCCTAGCGACACCCCGAAGGCAGTTCTCTACCCAGGAGAGGCAAGAGTGCAGTGTGCTGGGAGAGCCCTGGCCTGGGAGCTGGAAGGCCTGGGTGCGGGTTTGGGCTCTGCCACTGGCTGGCCACATGATGCCAGGTATGTCGCCTTCCCTCTCCGGTGGGCAAGGAGAGCAAAACCGATGCGTCAGCATGGGAGGTCTTTTGTCACAGGGCTGGAGGGCATCCGTTTCAGGCAGGACTCCCCAGCCCCAAGCCCGCACAGAAAGCTACCCGATGGACCATCATCTTTGGGGCTAGCCCCCACTGCACCTCAGTCTCCATGAGAAAGACACTGATGTGTGTTCACTCATTCCCTGCAGATCTGAGCACCTCCCCTGCACGAGGATCTTCCCCTTGATCCTGGGGGCTGGCCCGGGAGAGTAGTGCCTGCTGGTTACTCATGACTCTCAGATTTTTATGATCACCAAGTAAGCCAGTAACAAGCTTTAGCCACAAAGGGGCTCCCTTCTCCTTGCCCCTCCCCTGTCCCCATACCACACGCCCAAACCAATGCAAGTGTGGGAATGAGCGGCACAGATGTTTGTAAGTGTGGATGCGTGAGAAGAGCCCCAAACTGGGTCAGAATGAATTCCATAATTGGGGGCTTGGGGATGGGAAGGTGAGTCCTCCCCTGGCATCCTCCTCCATTCTGATTTTGAATCCTCTCCCAGTTGGAGGGTCTGGCATCTCCCAGAGCTGTGTCAGCATGGTGAGGGACTCTTGAACACCCAGCAGGGCTCCAGCCTTGGGAAGAGAGGGAGGGAAGAGCACTCTTTACCTGGAGAGGCTGTTGTGTGGTCCTCTCACCTTCCAGGCAGGCTGAAGAGGGTGGAAGATCAACACCACCCCCTCCCATTCTCCAGAAGGTCAGAGGCTGCCTGGAAGACTGGAAGAGCTCTATCCTACCCCATGCCCCAAGGGCCCTGGGAGAACACTCAGCTTGTCTTCCTCATGAGAGGACAGAACTAGCTGTGTGACCTTGTGAGAGCCACTTCACGTTTCTGGCCCTTGATTGTCCCAGGGGCTTAATCGGCTGGCTAAACAGAAGCCTCTACAGAGCCCTTAGCGTTCTATGACTGCAGGAAGATGGTACTAGAGCCGGTCCACAGCCTCTTCACCTGCAGATATACCCCCCCCACCCCTTCCACAAGCTGG